TGGACCGGTGCCTGCCCCCAGGGAGCAAGCCCAGCTGAAGGCCCGCGTGGTGGACCGGGACACGGAGGCGTGGCAGCGGGACCCCGCCTTCTCGGGGCTGCAGAGGGTCGGGGGCGTGGACGTGTCCTTCGTGAAGGGCGACAGTGTGCGCGCCTGCGCCTCCCTGGTGGTGCTCAGCTACCCCGAGCTCCAGGTAACCCGGGGCGGGGGCGGCGCCGGTCAGGGCAGCCCCGCTCGGCTCCGTGCCCGCCTCGGCGAGGGAGGCGGGGCTCCGGGGAAGGGAACCGGTGCTTCGTAGGATTTCGTTCATAGGTTGGGGAGCCTTGGGAGGAAAAAAGGGGACATTTCGGACTCCCCATCTCAGTGACCCGCGGCGACGCATCCCACGTTGCCCCGGCTGGACACCTCTGTCTTCCCAGACCCCTCGCCCGCAGCCGCACACTAGCTCCGTTTTGGTTTTTCCTGCCTCCTCAGTGGCCCTGGAGTTGGTGCCTTTGTCAGCATCCCGGCCGCCCCTTCCCTGGCTATGCCATGGTCACCCCTCGGCCAGGTCACCACCTGGTTCACACTCACAAGGCCTAAGGGCCTTCCTGGTCTGACCCCTGCGTAAGTCGCGCTGCAGGCTCAGCTCAGCAGCAGGCCGACTCCCCAGCCCATTTGCAGCAGTCACCTCGTCCTCACTCATGGTTTCCCCCCAGATCCATGAGGCAGGGAAGGGGGACGTGGGTGGCCTGGGAGATGGAGAGGGAGCTGGCAGTGGAAAGAAAAGGTTGTAGGTGAAGGGCTGAGGGCGTTCGGGGAGACGGGTGGCCAGGGCCACGTCCCGCCAGTGGCTTGACCTGGCTGCCTGGTGACAGGTAGTGTATGAGGACTGCCGCATGGTTAGCCTGACAGCCCCCTACCTGTCGGGCTTCCTGGCCTTCCGAGAGGTGCCCTTCCTGGTGGACGCGGTGCGGCGGCTTCAGGAGAAGGAGCCCAGCCTCATGCCCCAGGCAGGTACCTCGAAGGGCCTCTGCTTTTGTGGGCGGGGAGACCTGGGGGCTTCCTGGAGGAGGTGCACTTTGCCCTGAGAACAAGGATAGACTTTCTCAAAAGCTGGACTCAGAGTGGTGGCCCCACCCCTCCTGCCCCCGGATGTCCCCGCCCAGTGGTCAGTGCCTCTGACCTGGACTTTCCCTGTGGCTCTTCCAGGTCCTCCTTGTGGATGGAAATGGGGTGCTGCACCACCGAGGTGATCCTGCTCCCAAGAGGGGGCCCGGGAGGGCTGTGGGAAGGGGGGACCTCCCAGGACACTTGTACCCCAGCTGGGCACTGACAGCTCCTTTCTGGACTCACTGCTTTGTCAGGACCCACCAGTAAAGATCCCTGCCTTTTTTCTCCCCCCATATTTCCTGCCTGCCCCACAGCCTTCCCCCAGCACCCTCCACTGGCCCGTTTGGGGTGGCATTGCCCAGTTGGGACCTGACAGCTACCAGAAGTCCCAGGCCCGAGCTCAGTCAGCCTGACCCACTGGTGGCCCACCCTGTGTCCTGACAGGTCCTTGTCTCAGATCAGACAGGGACAGACAGGAGGGCCATTCCCCAGGGACTCCAGGAAACCTATACCCTGGTGCTGGAACCTTGGCCCAAGGGAGAACCGAGGGGAAGGGGCTGCTTTACCCTTAGATAGGAACCTGGGGGCTGGCAACAGAGGAAGCCAAAGGGTGGTGTTGGCTCTTCAGCTGCTGCACTGGGAGCCAGTGGGTCCAGGGCCACCCTGGATGTAAGTACTGGACTAGCAGGCAGCCCTGGGCTGGGACCCCAGGAACTGCAATCCTGGTCACCTGGCAAGAGCCCCAGAGTGTCAGGGGAGTTGGGGGGACAGAGACCCAGAGACCTGATGGTGGCCATGAAAGAGAGGAAGGTAGAAAGTGCTAGAAATGAGAAGAGAAATGGGTGAAGTACTGTGAGCACTAAATGGGCTCCTAAGTTGTTGGAGAGAAGGCGTCCTCTGTCCAGCGGACACCCGTGAAGTTGGGCAGAGGGCTATGTCCAAGGGCAGGCTGGGGCTCGGAGGCCTGTCTCCTCAGCTGTCTGCCCGCAACAGGACTCTGTCCACTTGGGGAAACTCAGGTTGGTTCTGGTTTGTCCCCAAAGCCCACACCATCCCTAGACTGCTTGGCTCACTGCCCTCCCCGCCTTCTGTGCAGGCTTCGGGGTGGCCTGCCACCTGGGCGTCCTCACAGACCTGCCCTGCATCGGGGTGGCTAAGAAGCTGCTGCAGGTGGACGGGCTGGAGAACAATACCCTGCACAAGGACAAGGTGAGGAGCAGGCCTGCGGGCATGGCTGGATGGGCGCCAGGGACCACCCTGCCTGGCTGCCCTGGCCTGCTGACTGTTGACACTCTTGTTCCCGTCCTACATCCCCGTTGGTCAGGAAGACCCATTTTTCCCTGCACCCCCTTGTGTCCCCTGTGGGTGGTAGAACCTCACAGAGCACCCTCAGCTCCTCCCCAGCCTCCCTGCCCTAAGGTGTCCCCATGTGGGACAGGGCCTCTGGTTATTGGGACCAGGACATTGGGGAGCCTCTGCAGGGCTACACACTCTCCCCAACCCCAGCCTCCAGGCCTTGCTCTCAGCACCCTGTCCTGGACATCTCCTTGCTCTGGCCCCTGTTGCTGGCACTGGGAATGTGACACCCATTCCTGAGAAAGCTGGTGACACCCAGCTCTGCCCCGAGATAGCAGACTCCGAGCAGAGGGCACATCTGTCTCATCCCTCCAGCAGTCCCACATATGTGTGGAGCAGTGGACAGGGACTCCAGACCCTCCCAGTGGGCCAGTCCCCATCTACCCTAAAACATTTGTTGGATTGAATCAAATGTGCCCAGATTCCTCCCAGGAGAGAAAGCGGCAGGAAGTGGCCTTGGGCGGGGTCTGACCTGAAATGTAGGAACGGGGCCTTCGTCCCACTGCAGTCCAGGCAGGCTGCCGCCCCCCCTCCAGGCCCCACATCCTCTGCTGTAGAGGAGGAGAGAGCCGAGCTCCCAGGGCCTCTGCAGGGTGGGACGGTGCTGTGGGCAGCACACTGGACAGGCTGGCTCCTAGGGTGGGCGCAAGCATCCCCTGGCTGTGCCACAGCCCCTGCAGGAGCGGGCCCTTCCGTCTCCCTGCCAGTGGCTGCCAGGTTTCAAACATGAGAAAAGGTGTTTTTTCAGTGTTTCCTGTTTTCCAGATACGCCTCCTGTGTGCCAGAGGAGACACGTTTCCTCTGACGGGCAGCTCCGGGGCCGTCTTGGGCATGGTGAGTGGCAGGGCCTGTGCTCCCCCGAGGCAAGCCTGTCAGGCGGGGTCAGTGGGGCCCTGGTCAGTACCCACGTATGTGCACACGCACACCAGACGCCAGCCGCTCCCGTCTTCCCACCACTGCCTGACTGGTGTGTCCTGCCCTTCATGTCCCCCCACCTCAGGCTGTACTGAGGGGTCTTTGGTGCCCCTGCTCGTCCCACCCTGTCCCGAGGACAAGCAGCAGGAAGGTGTCCAGAGGAGCTGCATGTACCCCCAGCTCCCTCCTGCCCGCAGCGCCCTGACCCGCCTTCCTTGTCCCAGGCCCTGAAGAGCCACGACCGCAGCATCAAGCCCCTGTATGTGTCCGTGGGCCACAAGATAAGCCTGGAGGCGGCCGTGCGCCTGACCCACAGCTGCTGCAGGTTCCGGATCCCGGAGCCCGTGCGCCAGGTGGGTGGCTCAGTCAGGGCCCTGGCTCTGCCTCTCACCCCGGGAGCCCTGTCACCCTGCGGCCATGGCCACCACCACCCCTCCTTGGGTCCTGGGCCTTCCTGGCTGCCGGTGTGCAGGGCGGCCTCCAGGTGGCAGCAGTGGCCCGCACAGCGTAGGGCTCAGCCCCTGCCGAGGACCAAGTCCTCTCAGGTGGCCCCTGAGAGTACCTCCCTAGGTGTCCACACTCTCTCCCACCCAGGGTTCCCAGGGTGCAGGTTCTCGGGCCTGCGACCTGTGTCCTGGCTCCAGGAGGCCCTGCCTCCTGCATTCCTACCCACTTGTACGGCCTTGAGCTACTGCCCAAACCCTGAGCCTGGGATCCCTGTGTTGGTGCAGCGGGCAAGTCTCTGTGCTTCAGAGTGACAGCGACCCTGTGAGCCTGTCCTGCAGTGAGGGGTGGCCTGTGAAGTGCTTGCGCATCTGGAAGGCTGGTGGGGACCTTGTGTCCAGCCCTGGAGAAAAGCCTGTGGGTTCTTGGGCCTGTACCCCCAGGGAGGACAGCCAGCTACCTCTTCCCAGGGGCCCACAGTCCCTGTCACTCCATGGGTTGGGGGAGGCTCTGCCTAGTGACTGCCTATGTCTTGGTCCACTTTCTTCCTGGGACCCCTGTCTGCCAGCACCGTCCTCCTGACTCTGCCTCCTAAGAGAGGATGAGAGGGGCTGTGCCTGCTCCCTCTCTCCACGGCGTCCGTGGGTCCCCTGTGCCAGGCCTGGGCTCCCCTCCCAGGCTGAGGGGAAGGTGGGTGCGGCCTCACTTCTCTCACGGGTGCCTTCACCCCAGAGCATCTGCTGCCCACCTGCTCGCTCCCGCTGAAGCCGAGGCCCCTGGGGGTCGCCATGTGTCCCATCTGATATGGCGCCGAGGCCAGACCCCTGGGGTGAGGTCAGCACAGGGCAGAGCCCAGTGGCAAGGCCCAGGGGGGCCCACATGCCCTTGTCACTCTGGGACTTTGAGGAACTTTCTGCACTTGCCTGGGGACAGGGTTGTGGCTGATAATAGACGGGAGATGAGCTGAGCCAGGAGCCCTCGGAGAAGAGGTTTCAGCAGAGGATCTGGCTCAGGTGAACCCACGAAAGGGAAGCCTCGGCTGTAAGATGACAGCCAAGTGGCAGGAGCTGAAGTGGGGGGACCGAGGATCCCACCTCAGGCTCTGGGGGACCTGCCGTCGCAGGACCTGGGCTGAGTGCCTGTCCTTGATAACCTGCCTCCCGGGGCTGCCGCTCCTTGTGCTGAAGGCTGGCCAGTGTTATCTCTGTGGCTTTCTCAGGAGGGAGTGAGGTGGGGAGGGCTTGTCCAGAGGCCAGCTTGGGACCCCATCCCCACCCCTCATGTGAGCCACCCTTTCCTCAGGCCGACATCCGCTCCCGAGACTATATTCGCAGGACCCTGGGCGGCCCTGTGCCCTCTGACCCGGGGCAGGAGAGGTGAGCAAGGGAGGCTGGGCCATGGTTACAAGTCCTCAGGCAGAGGGGATGCGGTGTCCCTGCAGGGACAGGAGGGGGAAGCCAGCAGGATGCTGGGGGCCTGGGCAGATGTGTGTGCAGAAACCCCCAGAGCCCTCAGCCCACCTCCTCCAAGGGCTGCCCCTGCCTGCCTTGGGCCATGTACCTGTGAGCCACTGGGCCGGGGCCCCTGCAGAAAGGGCATGGGAGTCTGACAGGCCGGCCTGAGTCCTGGCTGCAGGACCTGCCGGGCCTCTGACGCTCTCTGAGCCTCGGTTTCCTCATGTGCGTGGCAGTCACAGTCATTCCTGTCCTGCTGGTCCTCGTGGGGGAGGACCTGGCATTCACAGGTAGTCCCACCCACAGCAGCTGGCTGTGGGGTCCCGAGTGCACCTAACCGCAAGACAGCGCTGTTACCACTTCACAGATGAGGACACAGGCGCAGGGCAGTGATGGAACCCACGGCGCTTTCAGTCAGCAGTGGTTTCTGAGCCTGGTCTCTGGCACCCAGGCTGGGAATCGGCGCTGCCTGCGTCCCCAGGAGGCATTTCTGTTCCTCTCTCTCTAAGCCTGCGGCTGGCCTGGGTCCAGCTGAGCTGCTTTGAGAATGGGAGATGTGCACCTGGGACCCCAAGCTCTCCCAGGGGTGGGGCAGGCGATCAGTCTGGGTCTGAGGATCCCAGTCAGTGGCAGCCTCTGGGGACCACTTGGTAAATGAGGGGACCTCGGGCTCTCAGGTTTGATGGTACCCCTTCTTGTTGTTACCAGGAGCCAGGAGGCACCGAGGCCAAAGGCGTACCCTAAAGGAGACCCCAAAGAGCCCACAGGTGAGGGCAGGACCCCCGAGGCCCATAGCCAAGGAGGCCCCAGAACACACCCAAAAGCCCCAGACCCAGGTGCCCAGGAGCAGTAGAGCAAGGGCTGGGTGCGGAGCGGAGCTGGACGCCCTGAAGACTTGGGCTGCCTGCAATGTCCTCTGGTCTCAGGACAGTAGCTGGCCCTGGGGCTCCTCTGTAAAGATGGGGAACATCCACCCAACAGCAGGACTGAGACAGGACGCAGCAGGCAGCCCTGCTCAGGTGGGTTGTGGCTGTCCCTCCTGCTCATGGTCACCGTCACAAGGCCGGGCAGCCTGGAGCATGCTCAGCAGAAGACATCTCAGCCACAGAGCCCCTGACTGCCTCATGCCTGCCCAGCCCATGCCCTGGGAGAGCTTCCCAGGGGGATGTCCACAGCAGCAGTCCCCTGGGACCCACCTCAGGGATGTGTGGAGATGGCCACTGCCGCCTTACGGGGTGGGAACCAGACTCTGTGTGAAGCCGCTGGTTCCTCAGGGACGACTGGAGGGACCTGGCAGGCCTCCCAGGCAGCAGGCTGCGGGGATGAGGCCAAGAACTGCACATTCTTTTCTGTGGGGGCCCATCCTCACCCCCCCTCCAGCGAGGACCCTGCCAGAGTTGGACTACATTTTCAGACAGATTACCTGAGCGCTTTGTGGTGTTTAGGGTTTTTTTTTTGAGATTAAAGTCACATAAAAAATCATTTTAAACATATTTAAGTGTACAATTAAGTGGTTTTTAGTATATTCATAATCTTGTGCAATATCGCTCCCGTCTGGTCCAGAACTTTCTGTCTAGATCTGCAGGCACCTCGGGTGAGTGGAGTCTGGGCACAGCGTCTCCGAGGCTCGCGTGTCATGTGGGGTGTTGGTGCTTCACAGATGTGCCATGTCTTCGTCTGTCCATCACGGTGGTGCCTGTTTGGGGCTGTTGCGAGGCTTCGTTACCGGTGATGAGCACATGGCGTGTGCACGTAGTTTCTGTCCTCAGCCTGTGCCCTGGAGGGGATTCCTGGCCCTCATGGCTGTTGAACTGAGGGCCAGCCGCCGGTTCCATCACAGCCCCACCAGCAGCGCACGGGGCTCTGGCCCCCGCGTCCTCGCCAGCCCTGTGCCTTCTGGTTGGGTGCGGTGCCTCACGATGGCTCTGGTTTGCGTTTCCCTTGTGAGCAGTGGTGTTGAGCCCCTTCTTTTATGCTCACCGGCCGTTTGTCCATCTTGGGAGAAATGTTTTCTCAATCCCTTTGCCCTTTTTAAGGCTGAATCGTTTGTCTTGTTGAGCGGCAGGAGCTCTGTGGGGTCTGGATGCCAGACCCTCGTCAGGTACATGGTTTATAAACGTTCTCCCACTCGCCTTGTCTTTGTTCTCTAGACGGTGCCTCTGATGCTCAGTAGTTTTTAAATTTGATGAAGTTCCATTTATTTCTTGTTTGTTGCTCCTGCTTTCAGTGTCACTGCAGAAACCGCTGCTTAGTCCAGGGTCAGGGTTTGAGCTCCCAGCATTTGACTCTTCAACTCGCTTTTGAGTCCGTTTTTGTACGTGGCTGTTGGGGGTTCTCTGCAGCTCCACATGGGCTTTAGGCCCAGCTCATCCGTCTGCGCAGAAGGCAGGTGGGGTTGGACAGGGCTCCCAGGGCCGACCTGGAAAGCACAGCCCGCTTAGCAGCGCCGGCCCTCCCGCCCCCGGACACTGCGTCTTCCGTTGAGATCTCCCTTCACTTCAGTGCACAAGTCCTACACTTCCCTCGGCTCAACTTGTTTCTATGTGTTTTACTCTCTGTGCCCTCTTAGTGGGGTTGTTTTATTAACTGCATTTTGGGTTGTTCATTGCGAGTGTATTAAAATACAACTGACTTTTGTATCTTGTATCCTGAACTTGGCTGTACTTGTTTATCAGCCCTGATTGTGTGCGTGTGCGCGCGTGTGTGCATGCGTGTGTGCGCGTGTTCTTTAGGGTTTTCTGTCCGTGGGATCGTGTTACCCGTGAGTAGAGGTGGCTCTTCCTCCCCCTTTCCAACCTGGGCACCGGCTATACCTTGTTCTTGCCCGATGGCCGTGAGCAGAGCCTCCAGCACAGCGCTGGACAGAAGCGGAGAGGGGGCGGCCTCGTGCCGTTTCTCTCTCCACCGAGTGTGAGGTCGCAGAGGACTTCCCACGGGTGACAGGTGCCCTTCCTCGCGTGGGGAGCTCCTTCTGTCCCTGGTCTGCTGAGCGTCTTTATCATGAGAGGTGCTGGATATACTATGTGCTGCCTCTGTGCCTGGGCAATGGTCATTGTCCACTGGTCAGCGTGCGTCACACGGATTGGTTCATATTTTGAGCCACTCTGGCATTTCTGAAGTAAATCGCAGTTGGTTGTGGCACATGACCCTCACTGTAGGGTGTGTGGGGGCCTAAGTGGGGCGGCGTCTCGGCTCCTTCCCACAGAACCTTAAAAATAGAGCCGAGGTGGTGTCTGTCTGCACAGACCACAGCCCGCCCCAGAGCCCAGAATAAGTCTGAACCACTTAATAATTCACATCGATCCAAATAGAATGTCCCGTTAACCTGGCAGCCCCTGCGCCCCTCCCAGGGCTGGGAGTGAGGCTCCTGGGAGGTAGGTTGGCCTGGCTTTTGCAGAGCACACCCAGTCCCCGCAAGGCTCTTCATCTCAGGGACCCCAGCCTGCCCCCCTCCCCTCAGGACAATCAGGAATCAGGACACCCATGGTCCCAGCTGTCCCTAGGACCCCTCCCCTGCTCCACCCCTCTGGCCGAAAATATTGGCCAGTTTGAGCCTGAGTCTGAGCCAGGGACCTCAGCCCCTTAGACTACACCTCACCCCTCTTGGGCTCCTGTGATCCCAACTCTCCCGGGCCTGTGGGCTAGCCTGAGCTCCAGGGGGGCCAATCCCCAACTTAGGCCCCAGTCCCTGGTGCTCACACCCACCTTGAGGTCTGTTTTTCTGCCTCCTGGTAGGATCCTTAAAGGCGCTTTGCCTGGGGCTCTGTGGGCTGGCGGGGACAGCTGGGGACAAGCGACCAGGGCCCTGGGTTCCAGCGCCAGGCCTCTGCACTTGCTGGGGGTGGGAGTGGAGGGTCCTCGTCAGCCTGGCCCACCCTGCAGTCCCTGCTGCAATGCCCAGCCAGGCCCTGCGTGGAGTTTTACCAGATTATTAATTAAAGGCACAGGCCTGCGGCAGGGCTGACACCCGAATGAATAGCATGCTGGGTAATTAGCAAGGTGTCATGGAAATGATGGAGCAGGTCCCGCTGCCCCAGTTCACCTCCCCAGAAGCAGGAGCAACTTCTTGCAGTTTCCTGCCACTGTGGGTGATGCCGGGGATGGGGCAGTGTAGCCCAGGGGCCAGGGCACAGCTGTTGCCCTGGACAGGACTGGGCCCCTCTGTCTTGTTTGTCCCCACCCAGCAGGGCAGGGGAGGGGAGCTAACGGGGGAGGGCATGGTCGCAGAGAAACAGGTAAACAGACCTAGAGCGACTCGGGCAAATTTGGGGGGCTGGTGGAGGGCCGTGGTGTGCAAGGGGGATACCCAAACCCCAGGAGGGAGGGTGCTGCCCTGGGGGAGAACCAGCTCCCTAGGCCGTTCCCTGGGTGGCAGGGGCCTGATGGGTGTGGGGTGTGGGCAGCAGGCAGGGTGTTTTAGTTTTTCACTTACTGAAAAGTCACTTGTGTTTCTTATCAAAGTCATCAGTGAACATAGTTGGATCGAATACTTCCGTGAGACTGGTCACAAAAATCCTCTCCTTTCCTGAGGTCCCTCTTCAGCGGCAAAAGTCCACTTTTTCTGGTTGGTTGGTTTGGGGCTTTTTTTTCTCTTTGGTATTTTAAATAGCACGCGAATGTCGCTGGGTGTTTTCATACTTAGAAACTACCCTGGGCTTCCTGCTGAGAGTTTGTTTGCTCCCGCGTGACCCCTCACACACACACATTCACTCACACTCACTCACATTCACTCACACACATTCACTCACATTCACACACATTCACTCACACTCACATTCACTCACACTCACATTCACTCACAGTCACACTCACTGTCCGCCGTCCAGAATGCAGCCGTGCACCGTTTCTTTGTCCGCGCTGTTCAGGGCCAGCCTTACGGTAGCCACGCCCCTTCCTGGCACAGCCTCTCGTTTTTCCTGGACTTATTAGCAG